AAAAATAAAAGGGTTTAATTTTCATTTGATTAGGATAAATTAAATTAATGTTTTATGCCTTCATCTGATTACCAGAAAAATTAAGAACATTTTATAGGGCCCTATTATTGTTTAAAAAAGAACCCTATACAAAAAAAAAGAATAGGTTTAAAATACAGGCATGTAGTTCTTAATTTCTTTTTATTAATTCACAATTTGTAAACTGATGTTTACTGTTCATTTTTTAGAAATATCAATAGCATTTGTATGTAAACTATATTCACTGAATGTAATTAAAAAATCGAGAATCGAATCGAGAGCTTGCGAATCGAAATCGAATCGGGACATCTGAATCGATACCCAGCCCTAATAAGATGTTTTAAAAAAAACTCAGTATTGCTATTGTCATGTCCACTGACATATACATGGTTGACATATAGACCTAATTACAGAGTATGAGAAGCCTATATTTAGAAATTCCTTCTAGTCCCAGTTGGATCTCCTTCACATTATGCCCTGACGTCTGTTTGGAGCACTCTGAACCAATGACTGAGTCTTATTTTTGGAACGAACCACGCTGCCAAGCTTGTGTCGTCCGTAGGGGCGTAAGGTTGGCTGGGTCGAGTTAATTAAAGGGGTGTGAAAGAAGGAGAGAGGGAGCAAGGCGTAAGCATGAGTATTTCCCTGTCTGTGATGGTGGTGCTGTGCACCGACTGATGGCCGTCAATGGTGCCAGTAGAGGCCTGGCCAGCCAGAGAAAAGCCCTGTGGTCAGCAATCCATGAGCTGCAGATCCTGCCAGCATCCAGCTCTCAGAAACATAACAGGAATCACACCTCCAACCGCTCTCTGCTGGGCCCACGCCTGGCTCTCACAAACACATCTACTCAAGGACAGCGCTGTCATTTAGGCAATTTCCTCAATGTTAAACTCTATAAAACATGTTTTTAAAGACCGTAATTTGTAGAACAAATTGATTTCAAATCAGTATTAGGCAGAAACATCAACCAGACTGATACTGTATTTGTCAGCCATTTATCAGCAGAAAAGTTACTGTGTTAAATTTATTATACATACACTACCATAAGTCTTTTTTTTGAGCGAGAGAGAGATGGTAAATCATTCTAATGGTATGTGTACACCCAAAGCGAATTTAATTATTTGTGCGAGTAGATTACATAAAAAGTCAAAGAAGTGCAAAGAAGTGAATAGACACATTTGAGAGATGCAATTGCCGCGAACGTGTGATATTCGCGTCTTCTGCGCAAGTTGAAAAATTACATATTGAGAGGGAAATTTGCATGACGTCTTGTCGCGCAAGCCAATTAGCAAAGAGCTTATTGACACGTCTGGTTGTATCAAAAATGGAAGCGAGCAAGCACAATGTTGTTATTCGCGCAAGTGACGTGAAAACATCCCGCATGTAAACTTGAGTGATAACACAATGTGAATATTCGTTTCGCTTTTGATGTGAAATGTTTCTTGTTACTGATGTTAAAAATGATTGTGCTGAAAAAAATAATAACAAAGAGTGAAAAATTTAAGGGGGTCTGAATACTTTCCGTACCCACTGTACATAAAAAATACAGTTTTTTTTAAAGTAAAATAATATATGAAAAATTATTATAATTATGTCTTTATACATAATATATAGCTGACGCTTCCTTTATATTTTAGGAAGGTGGTTCTTCACAAAGGGATTAAGTTAAAGCATTTAGTTTGTTTATATTGATTTTGTTTTGATGTTTGTGTCCTGATCCCGTTCCCTTCTCCGTCCCTCTACTTTCCTGTCTACCTCCACTGTCCTGTCAGCCACTAAAGTCCATAAAAATTAGGAGGTGTTTCTGAAGGATTCTAACCTGGCTGATGTCAGGATCCTCATTATGAGTGCCTGGTGTTGAGCTGTAGGATGTTTGTGCATAAGAAATCAGGAGCACAAACCTGCCAATATAGACACTGAACTGGAAATGCCTAAGCTTACGGTCACATTCTGAGAGCCAACAGTCACTGCCAGGATGTGTTTATGAAAGAGAGTGAGGAAAGATGAGGAGAGGGTAGGAAAGAGGATGAAAATGTGTGTGTGCAGCAAGGTTATTTTCGTAAACGAAAACTAAAACTAAGACTAAAACGACTGATGAAAAAACAATTTCGTGAACTGAAATAAAATAAAAATGTCGAAATATTTGAAAAACTAAAACGAAACGAAACTAACAACAGTTATTGAAAAACTAACTGAAATAAAATAATAATGATCAAAAAATAAATAATCGTTTTCGTAGTCATTACGTTCTCACCCCTTGGCGGAAAAATATACGAGCTGTGTGGGGGTTTAGGGAAATAGCCTACCTGTAATGGCGCATGCACATGAGGTTATCTGACGGAGAGACGCAAAGCAGTTTAAAGCCTGCACGGGCCCTGTTTGGTAAACCTGCACCAGCAGTACTTAACAGAACACCCGACCCATTATCTGACAGCAGCACTAATTTAATTCTGTACCAGACCAGAACCGTTTGACATAAAGACCTCGAGTCGCGACCCGAACCGCACTCGCATTAAATCCATTACATCAGGTAAGCAAGATAATTTATTTTATCATGTAACACAAGCAATCAAACCAACATTAGGCATTCTAAGTTAGATTCCAACATTAGGCATTCTTTGAAGAAAAACAGACATGCAGCGCAACATGATAATTAACAGAAAAAAGTTAATTAAAACTGAAACTAAAACTGAAACTAAACTATATAAAAACTAAATAAAAATGCGTTCACAAAATAAACAAAACTAAAACTATAAAAAATATGAATGAAACTAATAAAAACTAAACTGAATTTTATAGCTAATTTGAAAACGATATTAAAATAAAACAAATTTAAAAATTCAAAACTATAATTACCTTGGTGTGCAGTGAGAGAGGCCGTATTACAGAAGAGAGTTCTGTAGTGACTCAGCTTCCTGCACCTGTTGTCTTACCTCAGAGAGACATTCAGCCGCCTCATACACAACTGCAGAATAGACGCATTTATGAAACACTCAGTTCAACTGATCTGACATATAAACTTTCAAAAGCGTTTTCGTGTTTCATTTAGCCCCAGACATTAAAGACAAATGTTACATTTGGTTTCACTGACTAGACTTGACCAAAAAAAAAAGAATTCAGTGGGCTGCTCAGGCTATTAGCTGAGGTGATGGTTTTATATTTCTGAGTTGGCTGACATTTACATTCACAAAGAGACACTTTGACAGTGTCATCTGCTCTGCCAGAGCATTGAAACAGAGCGAGTATGTTTGTGTGTGCACCTCAGCGTGGGTTTGGTCTTATTAAAATTGCCTTGAGTTCTTGCCACTAGCCCCTGCAGGAGCCTGCTTACATCAGCATTAGATGTCAGTCTGCTTTCCTGGTTAACCTTGTTTTGATTGTGTACCTTGTTTCTTCCCTGTACGGTTCTCTGAAATGCATCCATGTAACAGGTTCACAAAGGTACATCTAATATCAGTAGATTATGCACAGAGAAAGACGGCCCCTCTTGTTTTAAAGATACTCAGTTAGTCATTGTGACACCTCATGACACCCTGTGCCTGCACATTTCCACAGAATATGAAAGCCAAGTAGTTGAATAGTTATATATTTGTATACTTACTATAATATGCTACATAAGCTGATATTAGACGGATTTTTTCATTTATTGGAATGAAACCTTTTAATTGTCTTTCTGTCTGTCTATCTATTTAAAATATATGTATTTTCATACTGTACATTATAATATTGATTTAAAATAATTGTAGTTTTTAGTTCGTTTGTTTTTTAATGTGGACAAAACCAAATATAATTGATCAGCTATTGGCAAATAAAATAAAATAAAGATTAGTTATAGTCTATGAATATGAAACTGAGAGGAGAAAAACATTTTGCTTTTTTTAAATTAATTGAATTCACAATTTTGCTGACATTTTCCTAAAATAAGTTTGGTAAAACAACTCTAAATATTATATTATCTGGGCCATAACCCTCTTCTTCTCTTTTTCAGAACTCTCTAGGAACCCTCTAAATGGAGATGGCGTATTTCAAGAACAATTTTTGGGTAAGTCTGTCACATTTCTTATGCAATGGGGTTTTTAATGTTTCAGCTTTGTAGCTGTACAGTAAGAGCAAATGTTTACTCGGCGTATGTTTTGTACAGTTGCCTTGTAAGCAGTTTGGGATTCATATGCTGACTGTTTCAGTCGCGTCATTGAAAATATGAAGGAGGGATGGAGAGAGGAAAGAACAAAGAGAGAACAAAAGCCAGGGCTTTGTCAGCTTTCCCATGAGGACAGCCATGCTCTGCTCTTACAGCACACCTGGCAGGGCTATTTCAGGTGCGTCCTACTTTAAAACCCAGCCTGCCCCTCTCAAAGAAAGAGGGAGAAGAGAGAGAAATCAAGACGGAACACTGCTACTGAATACAGGCCACATTATAACAGTACAGAAGCCTTACTGCGAGATAAAGACCTCGATATGTTAAAGGAATTTACAACATCTGTGCCATCAGATTAGTTTTGTTGTAAAGTGGCATTTTTGCCTGCCTCTAAACAGCACTTGAAAGTAAACAGCATACAGTGATGGTTTCCCTCCTGTTTAGTCTGAACAGCCTTTCTTTCATTTGTAGTCTCGACTGAGGTTTTTTTTTTAATATTCCTCTTCTGTGTGGTTGCAGCCTTTGGTCTGCTGACCGGTTTCAGCAAGGTCATCTAGTTGTCTGGCTTTGTGTCGCAGGACTGTGGTAGATG